CCAAAAAGAGAACTTAGTTCATGAGAACTTTCACCCCCTTGTTAGTGCCTGCTAGAGAGGTGGTACTATACCGGGGAGAAAAAAGTACCAATTTCTGATTGGCTGGGCGAATTGCAAACCACGCCCCGTAAAAAAACTCTGTAAAGTTTTGTGAAGCCGCCATTGTATTTGCTGGCATTAGCATTAGCATTAGACCCGTGCACCAACGGAGAGAGACTAACTTATGGCAACACAAAAGAAAAACATGGGAGCGGTGGAGATGAGGAGGTGACTGCGTTCTGGCCATTTACTCGGAAGGCTTCAGTAGAAGCTGCTGGGAGTCCCAGCAGCTTCTACTGAAGCCAGTCCCCAACTCCGGGGACTTCCAGCTGGGGACTTCGGGTGGCAGTATACGCCGTGAAGTTGTTTGCGGCCTGCCAGTAAACCCAAAGCAGAAGAAGTGATGTCACCGACTTCATTTACGTAGTCTTCCCTCAGGGAATTTAATCCGGTGTGAACGCGATCAGGTCTTAGTTCCATGGGGGTACTAAGTGCTGGGAACTAAGTACGGCAAAGTACTTGGTGTGAAAGCGGCTCTTGATGCTAAAATATGTATTTAAAAAACAAAACATCCATGAACAAAACAGAATTCATGATAGACCAAAGTCCCCTCCTGACAGAAACTCAAAACGTTGTGTAAGTTCAACATGGTGGAGAAATAAAGAGGAAAAGGGAGGGCTGGACTGGCTTCAACATACAGAAACAATACAGGTGCAAATGCAGACATCACTATGGGGTTAAAGAGAAACAAAAACCAACAGCAAACCGGTGGGTTAGTAATTAGGGAGGGGTGCAGCACGGCAAAAGAGGAAGGGGTGCAGAGAGATGAATGGAGGATGGAGAAACGGAAGGAAAACTAAAAAGGTGTTTGAGAGGGAAAGGGGTGATGGTAGTAAGCTGACAATTCACAAGCTGTACCTACCAGGAGAGGGTTATTTTTCTACTGTCATCACTTAAACCTAGTGAGGAAAAATTTAAAGAATAGCTGACAAAGGATGCCAAAGTGACCGGAGGTGAAGCAACATCAATGAATAGGAGAAACACAAAAAAAGCCAAAAAAACCAGCAGAATACAGAATGTCAAAGACGCCTTTTTTGGATTTGAAAGGAAGCAGAAGTCATGCTTGTTGTATCGTGAAGTAAACTGCAGGAAGTGTGCTTTTAATATATTATGGATCTGGACATTTTGCACTTTTTATTTGTTATTATGTGCAATGCTTTGTTGCAACAAACAACCGAAATGGGATTAATAAAGTTCATTTCATCTCGTTTTAACCCTTAGATGCACGAGTGACTGGACCCTACACTCTTCCATAAGTGGGTCAAAAAAGACCCGTAATAGAATAATGTGTTATTATGCCATTTTTGTTAAGAAAAAAAAAATCACTTTTATAATATTTAGTCTTGGTTAATTTTTCACTATTTATAAAAAAAATTGTAACGTTTTGAACATATTGTCCCAAAGATCTCCGCTATTCTGAGACCCTCACAATATTCCAGTCCCTTTCCTCATCTCNACTCTGTAAAGTTTTGTGAAGCCGCCATTGTATTTGCTGGCATTAGCATTATTAGCATTAGCATTAGCCCAGCGCACCAACGGAGAGAAAATAATTTATGGCAACACAAAAAAAAACATGGGAGCGGTGGAGATGAGGAGGTGTCGGCGTTCTGGCGATTTACTCGGAAGGCTTCAGTAGAAGCTGCTGGGAGTCCCAGCAGCTTCTACTGAAGCCAGTCCCCAACTCCGGGGACTTCCGGCCGGGGACTTCGGGTGGCAGTATANACATTGGAGCGGTGGAGATGAGGAGGTGTCAGCGTTCTGGCGATTTACTCGGAAGGCTTCAGTAGAAGCTGCTGGGAGTCCCAGCAGCTGGGAGTCCCAGCAGCTTCTACTGAAGCCAGTCCCCAACTCCGGGGACTTCCGGCCGGGGACTTCGGGTGGCAGTATACGCCATGAAGTTGTTTGTGGCCTGCCAGTGAACCCAAAGCAGAAGAAGAAGAAGTGACGTCAGCGACTTCATTTGCGTAATCTTCCCTCAGGGAACTTATTCCGGTGTGAACGCGATCTGCTCTTAGTTCCATGGGGGTACTAAGTGCTGGCACTAAGTACGGCAAAGTACTTGGTGTGAAAGCGGCTATTGGTTGTTGAAATTAATAGATGAAAGGGAATTATTTCCAGCATTGTTTTATTGATAAAAATATACATGGAACTGGACACAAAATGGTTAAAAAGTTAGCATTTTCTATATATTTTTTTTATAGTTTAACTCTCGTCCAACTAAGTATAATATTTATTTTTTTCTTTTGCAGTTCTTTGTAAAAATCGACATCACGATGACGATCAAAAACATCATACACATGAACATGCTCACGCTACTAAAACAAACGTACTGTATGTATAGGAAAATCGAAAAAATTGTCTTTTTGTGATTACCATCTTAAAAGTACCCACATGTGCATTTTAAATTAGTGTTTGTCTAATGAGAGTGTCCAAAACACAACATATGACTCACTTATTGTACGCTAACAAAGCAACAGCTATGCTTTCTTTACAGACTGTGTTTAACATTTCTACAAGGTGACCCACGCTCATCTCCTTTCATGTTGACAGCAATGTGGATTAAAGTCGAAATAAGTCAAGAAAAGAGGACAGACAAAACTGGAGCACAGGAGGACGTTTTTAGGCCAAACCCCCGAGCTTTGCACCTGTTCCCTCTACCCCCCCTCTCTTCTTCTACCTTTACCTCACAACTACACTTCATACTCTGTCTTTGAATCGACTTGTCACTCTCACCTCTTTCCATCCAAGTAGAAGTACAGATACTCGTGTTTAAAAATACTCTGGTGAAAGTAGAAGTACTGACTAAACTTCTTTCCTCAAGTCAAAGTAAAGAGGCTTTGAAATGTACTTCAGTAAAAAGTACCCATAACTAGCAGCTGTTTTAAAGAGTACCTGACCTCCCTTTATATTAATAGAACAATAATGTCATTGTTAGCTTATGAATGTTTCCATGCTGAACAACGGCAACATGACAACGTTTTCATTGGTCCCTCTTCTTGAGAGAAGACCAGGAAATGATGGATACACGGATCGTGTTCAAATCAATAGGCACGCAATGACTCTAAATAATAATGATCACGCCACCAAACACACATTCAGACTAAAGGAACCAGCCTGTTTGGAAAATGTAAGAAGTAGAAAGTACAGGTATTTTTGTTCAACATGTAAGAAGTAGAAAGTATTTGTACTCCACTACTTCCCACCTCTGTTAACGGGTGAGAATCTGGCTCAGATTGTGTTCGATTGCCGTTTCTGGGGTTATGAACGTGCTCCATGTCGTTTTCTTTGGCCACGTACCTCTGCAAACTTGGACTCCAGTTCTGAGTTGCGTTCTTCCACTTGCTTCAGGGACTTTCTCATGTGTTCATACATTTTGTGTGCGTGCTCAGCTCTCTGCCTCTCGTTCAGCTCCTTCATCTCCAGAGTGGTGATGCGCCGGGCGGCTGATACCATCTCTTTGTTGGCAAACGCCTTGTTTGCCTTATCCATGCTCGTTTCACCTCCTGGCGTTAGGGTGAAAACAAAATTAAGGGTGAGAATCTGATTTAATGTTGGAATCCACAAACTCCATAACCCTACAAACTAGATTAACTCTCTGGTTTTAAGTTTTGCATAAAACGATAAGATATAGATTTCACACTAATTTCCTCTCTCTTTGGGACTGTTTTTTGCCAGATGTCCTGGTTTGAACTAGGTTGAACCAGGGTTAGAACAAATCTATGTCCATAACTATTCTTATATTGGTATTGACAAACAAGATAAACTGTCAGGTTAAATCATCGGTTAAGGTTTTGCATAAAAGCGATACAATTTGAATTGAACTGAAATGGTTTCATACTAATTTCCTCTCTCTTTGGGACTGTTTTTTCCAGATGTCCAAATCTATGGCCATACCAACTCTAAGCAGATCATTGGCCAACATTTATACTACTCACAGTGACATTAATCTCATAACATTTTTGTTTATTAAGATAGGCATGTGTCGACACTGCTAGCCATAGATTACATCATATGAAGCAATCAAAATAAGGGTAGCAGGTAAAGTGTGATAATCATCTACATACCACAATGTAGAGACGTAAACAACCGCACGTTAGCCCGAGGCTGTGTCTCGTGGTATTACCGCATCCCAAAGTTTATTAAGAAAGTGTTTTCCTATAATGGCACCAGTTGAATGAAATCATGTTGATTTATGCTGTGTTGATATAAATGTAATCATAACCTACTTGTTGTGAGTCACAGAACACAGTAGATACTTTGAAGACTGGTTTTATAACACATTAATAAACAGTCGTCAGTTCAATCCGTTTCATAAGGCTTTTTCATAGTAGAAAACAACAGAACTAATAACATTCAGGCATATCCTATGAAAACTATTCTGTGGGAAGCAACGATGTACATTTGTACAAAGTCAGAAAATTCAATTAGTTTCTGACTTTAAAGTTAGAACTGTGACGACCCCTGCTTTAATCTCTCCTGTTGTGTGTGTATGGCCCTTTAATGATCTCCCTTTGTCAGTGTCAGCCTTGATTGATGACACCTGGCCGCCGGTACAGGAGGAGTGAAAGGCACGAGCCAGAGGGTGTTTCTCAGGCCGTTTCTCAATCTCGAGGATTCTGGCTTCCAAGCCAATATTTCAAGGATGCTACGTCATCGAGTGCCGCCGAAGTACTGTTCCAATATCCAGCATACTTGGAATTCCACCGAGGCCGCGTCCTTGGTTTGGGGGAAATTTCAAGGATGCACATGGGTAGACTTTGCGTCCTTAAAATCCCCACAATGCTTTATGCACGGACCAATTTCAAAAACCCTTGCGGAGAATGGCTGAACCGACGCAGCACACATTTAAATGTAAGTATGTAGTAGCGTAGAACATGTGTTGGTAAATATGTTACATTCGTCATCACCAAAAATGTGTTCCGTGAAAGTAAAGCAAGTTCATAATTAGATAGACATCGTGAGGTATTTATTTTCGGTACAGTTTATGTTGAAACCATTAGAGAGAGTGGCACACTTGTTAGCCTGTTCCATTCTTCTTCGTTTTCCGAAGCCGTGGCTTGGAAGCATACTTGCTTAGTATTTGAAGGAAGTGACTTGGAAGTACGTGACTACCAAGCCAGCATCCTCGAGATTGAGAAACGGCCTCAATGTCGAGGAAGGCTGCTCCAGAGCCACTATTGCAAGGATACCACGTCATCGAGTGCCGACGAAGGACTGTTCCAATGTCCCAGCATACTTCAATTTCGAAGGCGGCGTGCTCCGTTGGGGAAAAATTTCGAGGCTGCACAATGTGTAGACTCCGCGGTCCCCTTAAAATCCCCCACAATGCTTTGCGCACGGACCAATTTCCCAAATCTTAGGCGAATCGCGCTCCATTTAAGGTGGGGGCTTCCTCATATGACGCACACCTCTCACACCTGTTTGCCTGTTTTCACCAATCTTCGTTTTCCGAGGCTAGAGGGGAATTCTTGGCCTCGCTTCTGAGCAACTGACTCGAGGTACATTGCTACCCAAGCAGCGTCCTCGACATTGAGAAAACAACCAGTCGTTCGCTCTCTCTGTTTGAGGGTTCGTTTGGAAAAAAGAGCACCCCCATCTACCTGACTTATGCTTTTTGTTTCCTTCTCTTAAGTTTGGATTCAACACCTCGCACCACCCTATGTTCAACACACCCACATCCATAAACTACTGATCTTACTGATAAAATCCCATTGTGGTAGCTCTTTTAGTTTTAGTTAGTTATTATAATAAAATAAGCGTTCCTTTTAAACCGTGTCTTGTCCCCAACGCTACTTTTGTTATGGCCAGATCCAGGCCAACAAAAAGACGAACAAAAGAAAAAAAATCCACATTTGGTCAGATCTAAAAAAAAGGTCATATACTATAAGGTCGTAAATCCTTTTTCATATTACATTTTAATGTTGACGTTCTTAAACTTTACTTTGAGTATTTTCCATTTGAAGCTACTTCTACTTCATCTACACTACAAATAACACCCCTAACTACTTATCTTAATATGATGATTTAGAATCTATTATTTTGGATTAAGATACCCAGCAGTGATAAAGCTAAACCCGCTTTAACCGACTGTCCCCCCCCCCATATAAAAGGTGAAACAACTAATTATAATTCTGTAATTTATACCACATTATCAGAAAATTTACTTTTTTCGTTTTGATACTAAATGTATTTTGAGGCCCTAATAATAGAATATAATAATATTTCAAAATAATAATATATCAAATAAGAATGACTTAGTTAATTACAGAGTAAATTGTCACTGTTTTGTAATTGGCCACATGTTCTAAAAGTGATATTTTCTCAGAGCTCTGACTTTTAATCTAAATTTTTCCCAAAAACTTTTGGGGGTCCAAAGAAAAAAAATTCAATCCTTTTTCCTCTTCATTAAAGGTAGGGTAGGTAAAGAAATGGGGAAAACCAGCTCGATTGCGCTAGAAATTTGAAAGTACCCAACCGAAAATATCTGCCCCTTCCTTCAGATTACCTTACAGACCCCTCTCCAACCACAACACGAACGCGCACATGACCAATGGGCACGAGATAAGTTTGTGCACAGCTGGAAGGCTGACAGGCAGGTAGGCCATCCAGTTACTTTAGCCGGGCCGGCTCAGATGATGTCGTTCTTTTTACAGCGCCAACGGCCTTCTACAGATGACATTTTTTTAATGTATTTATTTCAAAGCATTTAAGATATTCCATGCTATCGGGATGTAAGAGCATTCGCATGGAATATAACAAAGTGTTTCTGAAGTGAACTACATTACCCCACCTTTTAAGATCCTGAGTACTGCTTCCACTCTCTCCATTGTTTACCTGTTGTATTGACCCGTCCCATGCTTGTTCTAAAGTGTTCAGGTCTCCTCGTGATCTCCAAGTTCTTGTCATGGCTTGAGAATCGCTCCCGAAAAGACTCATTCTCACCCTGAGAGAAAAATAATACTGCCATGTTGAGTCGATGCTAGACATTAAGGTCCCTATTATACTGGTTTTTCATCAATAATATATAGGTCTCAGATATATGACAAAGCATGTTCTGAAGTTTTGGCTCCCAAACACCAAAACAGATTCATTGTAGCAAATTACCCATAATCCCCTCGTTTCAGCCCTGTTTCCTAAAGTGGCTGATTCTCTGTCTGTTACTTTAGATGAAAATAGGAGCCCCTCCCACGCCCCTCTGAGAGACATTTTGTTACAAGAACTCATGGTGCTCTAGGAGGAGATTCAGGTGATAGGGGAGGGGGGGTTACCTTGGTTGTTGATTGGCTAATGGATACACAAGCCAGAACATCAGTTAACATCATAAAGTGGCCAAAATCTGATCAGCGTCATTTTCAGACAGGTTTTTATATGAAATGGATCAGGACAAAAAGAGAGAGAATCTTTGTTCTGAAACTTTCAGAGTCTCTTCCACAGAGGGGACACATGTTGATGTAAAGAGACATGAAGAAAGGGGACACATGTTGGATTGAAGAAGAGACATGAAGAAGAGGGGACACATGTTGATGTAGAAGAGACACTGAAAGAAGAGGGGACAATGTTGATGTAGGAAGAGACATGAAGAAGGGGACACATGTTGATGTAGAAGAGACATGAAAGGAAAGGGGACCACATGTAGATGTAAGAAGAGACATGAAATATAGGTGTATTTGCATAATAGGTGACCTTTAACAATAACAAGCTGTAATACTGGAAAGAAACGTTTGAGTGTTTATTACCTGCAAATGTTCCATGTTGCTGGTTCTCTGAATGAGGCGCTGTTCTCTCTGCAGCCTCTCTGAATTTGAAACCGTTAGCTCCTGTACTGCTGTTGGCCTTCTCCAGCTCCGATGAGAGCACACCTGTCATCCAAGGCCTTTTGTAACTGCTGCCTATCTTATAAGCAGCCATTTCCTGGAAATAAAACGAAGAGCTGTTAAAGAGATTGTACGTTTGTTATAACACAAATATGCACTTTTATTTGGGAATTTTTAAAGGTGCAGAATAGATAGATGATGATAAGTATTGATGCCGCCTGCGAGGCAACGATGTTACTCTTTGTGAATCCTTTGCTTTTATTCTTTTTTATTCAATAATGGGTAATTTAATTTCGTCTGAATGGTGTATTTATTTTTAAATGGTATCGGAGTGCTGCGACCGTTCTATATTTTTGGTACCATGAATGCACTTTAGATAATAAATATAAATAATATATACCATTAAGTTTTTTGTTGTTGATGAAAGGGTAACAGGTTATAGCATCAATACATGATCATTACTAACTAGAAGTATACCCATGACACTTCTTGCCAGTTGTTTACTAACAATTAAAAACAAACGATTGTTGTATTACATGTTTCTGAAATTTGACGTTTGAATATGCAAATAAGGGCTTCCTATTTTTATATATATTCTCTTCATTTTCGGGACAGAATCTGAACTTTGATGAAAAGGGGAATTTGGGATATCTATGTTTTAAAACTACGTAAATCAAGTATACTGTCAACTGCCATAAAAACTCCATGAATTAGGAACAAAAATTTCAATAAATCAGGCAATGAATGATATGATGAACAAGTATACACACATGTAGCTTCTAAGCGTCTTGAGTTTCTAGAAAGCGGGCTATACAAGTATCATGTATTATTATTAAGTGGCTAAATCATGGAACAAAGTCAGCTGTGAGAATCAGCGTTTAAAAGGTCTGAGTCATAATACTTTCAGACATCTTGACCTGTACGTATACAACACGACTCTTTCCCTATAGGGGGGGGGGGGGCTGCTAATAGCTGGTTTTATTTCTATTTCTATTTTGAGATCTTTCTATTTTACCGGAATCCTTTATTTGCTACTGCTTTGAATGTTATTATGTGCAATGAATCGCCTTGTTTGTTTTAAAGCTGCTGCAACAAAAACAATTTCCAAATGGGATTATAAAGTACATCTTATCTTATCCTATTCCTATTGATTACTTCCATTAAGACAAAGTTTGTGTTCTTAGTTTTCTGAGACCATGTTCTAATGCTAACATTTTTGGTTTAAAAGAATCCACCGACTCAAATGAACAGTGGCACTAGAAATAAGAAACAGCCGAACTGCAACCGTTTCCAGGTGTTTCTTTTAACCTGGTATGCGGAAGAATACATATTATAAAGAATAATAGCCGTATCTTTCAGTGCATAGAAAAACAAATCTTTTCTCTCCCGTTGTGTCTCCGGCCAAAAAAAATATAGTAACGTTGGCAATTGGGTGAAATCGTCCAATATTCTCTCCATGTTTGCCATCATAGTCTTCATGTATCTTAATACTTTATGTGTCACACTAGTTTGGGAGTACAGATACGACATACAATGTTCCTGCTGAAAACCTTTTTTCTACATCTGGTCAGAATGGCAAAAAGTACACTCCATTCGCCTTTACTCCAAGGTTATTCACAGTGGACCAATAACTCTCTTAAAGGTGGGTAAGGTAAGTTTGAGAAACCGCCTCGAGAATACACTTTTTGTGTTATAGTTAACATGGAATGCTCTTAACATCCCGATAGGGCAATGAATAACATTAAATGCTTTTGAAACAATAAATCCATAAAAAATGTCATCCGTGGAAGCCCGTCAAGGGCTGTAATCAAAGCAACACCAACGCTCCATCTGAGCTGGCCCGGTAAAGTAATCTGGAATGGCTCTGCCTGTCCCTGTCCAGCTCTTCCCACTGTGCACAAACCTATCTCGCTGCCCTCCCGTTTTGGTCCATGTGCGGCGTTCGTGGTTGGAGGTAGGGGGCCTCCGTGAGGAAGTGCAGATTTTCCAGCTGTGTATTTTTAATCTAGCGCACTCGAGCTGGTTCTCCAAAAAATTACCTACCCCACCTTTAAAGTAAAAGTAGCCCATAACTAGCAGCTGTTAAAGAGTAACCTGACCTCCCTTTTATATTAATAGAACAATAATGTCATTGTAGCCTAATGACAGTTTTCCTGCTGACAACGGCAACATGAACAACGTTTCATTGGTCCTCTCTTCTTTAGAGAAAGACAAGGAAATGATGGATACACGGTCGGTTCAAATGCCAATAGGCCGCAATGACTCAAAATAAAAAATGATCACGAGGCCCACCAACACACATTCAGACCTAAAAGGAACCAGCCCTGTTTGGAAAAATGGAGAAGTAGAAGTACGTTAATTCAAAAGTGTTCCAAAATGTAAGAAGTAGAAAAGTAACAGGATTTGAAGTTCAACATGTAAAGAAGTAGAAAGAGGCACGGTATTTTGTGTTCAAACCAGTAGAAGTAAAAAGTTGTCAGAAAAATAGTAGTGGAGTTAAAGTAACCGATGATACCAGAGAAATGTACTTAGGTAGGCAGTAACAAAGTATTTTGTAGCCCCTCTAATTCCCCTCCCTGTACCCTTGTATCTCTCGCAGGTAGCCCCATCCTCCTTGGGTGACGGAGGCCTGCAATGTTGCCTGCTGTCGTCCTTCATTCTTGCCGTTACTCGCTGCGAAGGTGCTGCTCTTGCTCGCAGCAGCGTGGTGTAGCGCTCCGTTAGCTCTTCTGCGTTAAGCCTTCAGCAGCGTGGACTCTTCGCAAGCTTCGCTCAACTGTCCTCCTGATTTCCTCCCTGGGTCGCTTTTGAAGGGTGTCTAGCAGCTTTCCTGACAGGATGAATGAAAAGGGGGGGGAAACACCAGCAGTGAAGCAAGAGAGGAGAAATGGATTTAACAGTTTGACCATCAAAAGCAGATTTTATTTTACTATATAGGAAAAATAAGAACATTTCAGTGCCCTTTGTCCTGCATTTTTGTTCAAGTCAAATNAAATACTTATTTTACCGAGGAATTTACCAATTAATTCATTACAAATCCTACAATGTGATTTCCTGGATTCTTTCCCCCCATTCTGTCTCTCATAGTTGAGGTATACCTAGGATGAAAATTACAGGCCTCTCTCATCTTTTTAAGTGGGAGAACTTGCACAATTGGTGGCTGACTAGAATAGCATGATAGGTGACCTTTAAAGTAAACTGAATAATAGGAGATTTTGCTGTAAAATCAAGACTTGTAAGAGAAAAACCTTTAAGACACGTCTTTAAATGAATTCTGATTCATGCTAACATTTTAACCTGCACCCTCCTCTGTAAAGGTTGGTTTCTCCTCTATAAAAGTGGTGATACTGTCCTCACCTTGTATCCACTGTGGGGACTCCACGTGATGGTGACGGTGCGTTTGTGGCCCGTCTCCACGATGCCTTTGCTGAGCTCCACAGTGAAGCCTTGCTGCTGCAGAGACGCCACGTTCTCCCAGTGAAACTCACCACTCTGGGGGACAACAGAGAGTGAGTCAACACACACACACACACACACACACACACACACACACACACACACACACACACACACACACACACACACACACACACACACACACACACACACACACACACTAATAATATTTTAGTTTGAATGATGATCCTAAGAGAAACCCTGACTCTTATTAAGATAAGATGGACCTTCATTTTCCCGGTGTGGAAATTCAGGTGTCATAGCAGCAACAGCAACGAGGGTAAACATAGGACAGATATGAACTCATACAAGGATAATAATAATAATAATAGTAATAATAATAATAATAATAATAGATTAAATAAAGAAATGTGAGAATAAAAGTGTAGGAAAAATATGTGAAAGAAAAGTGACAGTTTAAGTTAAAGTTCTACATATATTCAGATACCTATAGTTATGGGATTATTCAATATATACATTCTCGTCATTTGGAAGTATGAGTCCCACTTTTACATAATTTTGAGAGTCGTCGTACAGACAGTGCAGGTTATTTGGATCGAGTGTTATGATGTTTTATGAACTCCCTCATGATGCACTGCAGTACACATGATGCAGCATTTAGCAGCATCAGTACCTTCTTGCTGGGCTGGGTGGAGCGGATGGAGCCCACCTGAAGCTCCCTCACAGCGGGGGTGATAGCCCCCCCGCTGTAGCCGGCCCTCAGGGTCACCAGCACAGGGATGGTGGGCTTCTCCATCACCTCTGACTCTGCTCCAAACAGACGACCAGAGGACAGTTAGGTCTATTTACAACCAATAATACGTACTTTCACCAGACCAGTGGCAAAAAACAACATTTTGGTTAGACTAAAATACCGTAACCACTATGGGGTGGAAATGAATCCAACTTTGTACCAATATTCAAGGTCCCCTGAGGATGACTTGGGGAGCCCCTGACTTTTCAAATAGTGCAGTTTTTAAGTCAAAAGTGTCCAATACTTTGTTTTAAATAGCTGCCAATTGAAGGACCTTCCCATCAGCCTCAGATGCACTTTGTGTTGATTGTAAGTTGGTTGACCTTACATTATATATGGCATCAGCATGTTAGTATTATCCGTATACTAGCATGCTATTCTTAGAGGGGCAAGAGCCCGCTCGTGAACTGTTAGCGCCAGAGCCTCGCTACGGGGAAACTGTGGCGCATAAGATGAGGCCCCCTGCGCAAGGCGATTCAGACAAACATAAATGGATGATGTATGCTTATGTTTTTAGAAAACAATAAAAGGGAGAATATAGTCTAGAAATGTGTGCAGTGTGGATGCACACATTTCTTTGTACACAGCTTTGTGCACACATGGCACATTCGGCCAGTGTGGACAAATGTTGCAGAAATAGCAGATGACAACATCTTCATAATTTGGTCACTTGCATAGACCCTCCAGAAAAACGCGTGCAAAAATCCTTGATTATGCGATTAAACATGCGGGGGTTTTATGTGATTTTATGCGGTGAAATTGCGGGAAGTTGCGAAATATGCTAAATATGCGGGGAAAAAGAATAACAATTTTTTAAAATATTGGGCTGTCTTATTTATTCTCTCTCACACACAACCAGCCACTAACGTTAAACCCCTTTACTATTCAATTAAACACATTCAATGTTTATTTATTGTAAAAGCAATTGGGCTATTTTAATCTCACACACACACACACACTCCCC